TTGCTAAATGGTGCTGGTTCTATGTAGTCACATTACACAGATGCTGAAATAAAAATAAAAGAATAGCTTTCTTTTAATGAGGCAGTAGATTAATATTTTTGTATTGTGCAAATTGAAGTGTACAGGGTGGAAGAATAATATTTTGGAGGAGTGATCCTCCTTTGTCAAATACAGAGAATGATCCTCCAAAATGCTCTAATCCAAGTTGCACAATAAATAATTGACACTTTTAGACATTTTAACCACTTGAGCCCCAGAGGATTTACCCCCCTTAATGACCAGGCCTTTTTTTGCTGTTTGGCGCTGCACTAATTCAAATGATAATTGCGCGGTCATGCAATGCTGTACCCAAACGAAATTTACGTCCTTTTTTTCACACAAATAGAGCTTTCTTTTGGTGGTATTTTATCACCTGTGCGCTTTTTATTTTTTGCGCTATAAACAAAAAAAACACAAAAATTTTGAAAAAAAAAAAAAAAAAACAATATTTTCTACTTTCAGCTATAAAAAATATATCGTAAACTCAAAGTTAGTCATAAATTTAAGCCAAAATGTATTCTGCTACATGTTTTTGGTAAAAAAAATCCCAATAAGTGTATATTGATTGCTTTGTGTGAAAGTTATAGCGTCTACAAACTATCGTATAGATGCTGTAATTTATGCCTTTTTTTGCTATACAGCGCTGCACTAATTCAAATGATAATTGCGCGGTCATGCAATGCTGTACCCAAACGAAATTTACGTCCTTTTTTTCACACAAATAGAGCTTTCTTTTGGTGGTATTTGATCACCTGTGCGCTTTTTAATTTTTGCGCTATAAACAAAAAAACCACCAAAATTTTGAAAAAAAACAATATTTTCTACTTTCAGCTATAAAAAATATATCGTAAACTCAAAGTTAGTCATAAATTTAAGCCAAAATGTATTCTGCTACATGTTTTTGGTAAAAAAAATCCCAATAAGTGTATATTGATTGCTTTGTGTGAAAGTTATAGCGTCTACAAACTATGGTATAGATACTGTAATTTATGCCTTTTTTTTGCTATACAGCGCTGCACTAACTCAAATGATAATTGCGCGGTCATGCAATGCTGCACCCAAACGAAAATTACGTCCTTTTTTTCACACAAATAGAGCTATCTTTTGGTGGTATTTGATCACCTGTGCGCTTTTTATTTTTTGCGCTATAAACAAAAAAAACCACAAAAATTTTGAAAAAAAAAACTATATTTTCTACTTTCAGCTATAAAAAAATATATCGTAAACTCAAAGTTAGTGATAAATTTAAGCCAAAATGTATTCTGCTACATGTTTTTTTAGTAAAAAAAATCCCGTGCATTAGCGGGCAAACTGGCGCTATCTAGGAGGGGCGCTAACACTATCGGAAGTCACCAGTGACACTAATACAGTGATCAGTAAAAATCTGTTCACTGTAATCAATGACACTGGTGACAGGGCAGTGAAGGGGTTAACTGGGGGGGGGAGGGGGCGATCAAGGGGTTAAATGGGATTTCTGGTGCACTAGCGGGCAAACTGGCGCTATCTGGGAGGGGCGCTAACACTATCGGAAGTCGCCAGCGACACTGATACAGTGATCAGTAAAAATCTGTTCACTGATCAATGACACTGGTGACAGGGCAGTGAAGGGGTCAACTCGGGGGGGCGATCAAGGGGTTAGACAGGATTATTGGTGTATTAGCGGGCAATCTGGAGCTATCTGGGAGGGGCGCTAACACTATCGGAAGTCGCCAGCGACACTGATACAGTGATCAGTAAAAATCGGTTCACTGATCAGTGACACTGGTGACAGGGCAGTGAAGGGGGTTAACTGGGGGGGGATCAAGGGGTTAAGCGGGATTACTGGTGTACTGGCGGGCAATCTGGCGCTATCAGGGAGGGGCGCTAACACTATCGGAAGTCGCCAGCGACACTGATGCAGTGATCAGTAAAAATTGGTTCACTGATCAGTGACACTGGTGACAGGGCAGTGAAGGGGTTAACTGGGGGGGGGAGATCAAGGGGTTAAATGGGATTATGGTGTACTGGCGGGCAAACTGGCGCTATCTGGGAGGGGGCGCTAACACTATCGGAAGTCGCCAGCGACACTGATACAGTGATCAGTAAAAAATTGGTTCACTGATCAATGACACTGGTGACAGGGCAGTGAAGGGGGTCAACTCGGGGGGGGGCGATCAAGGGGTTAAATGGGATTACTGGTGTACTGGCGGGCAAATCTGGCGCTATCTGGGAGGGGCGCTAACACTATCGGAAGTCGCCAGCGACACTGATACAGTGATCAATAAAAATTGGTTCACTGATCAGTGACACTGGTGACAGGGCAGTGAAGGGGTAACTGGGGGGGGGGATCAAGGGGTTAAGCGGGATTACTGGTGTACTGGCGGGCAATCTGGCGCTATCTGGGAGGGGCGCTAACACTATCGGAAGTCGCCAGCGACACTGATACAGTGATCAGTAAAAATTGGTTCACTGATCAGTGACACTGGTGACAGGGCAGTGAAGGGGTTAAACTGGGGGGGGGAATCAAGGGGTTAAAACGGGATTACTGGTGTACTGGCGGGAAAACTGGCGCTATCTGGGAGGGGCGCTAACTCTATCGGAAGTCGCCAGCGACACTGATACAGTGATCAGTAAAAATTGGTTCACTGATCAGTGACACTGGTGACAGGGCAGTGAAGGGGATTAACTGGAGGGGGGGGGGGGGGGACGATCAAGGGGTTAAACGGGATTACTGGTGTACTGGCGGGCAAACTGGCGCTATCTGGGAGGGGCGCTAACACTATCGGAAGTCGCCAGCGACACTGATACAGTGATCAAGTAAAAATTGGTTCACTGATCAGTGACACTGGTGACAGGGCAGTGAAGGGGTTAACTGGGGGGGGGGCGATCAAGGGGTTAAACGGGATTACTGGTGTACTGGCGGGCAAACTGGCCCTATCTGGGAGGGGCGCTAACACTATCGGAAGTCGCCAGCGACACTGATACAGTGATCAGTAAAAATTGGTTCACTGATCAGTGACACTGGTGACAGGGCAGTGAAGGGGGTTAACTGGGGGGGGGGGGGGCAATCAAGGGGTTTTTTTTAAACGGGATTACTGGTGTACTGGCGGGAAAACTGGCGCTATCTGGGAGGGGCGCTAACTCTATCGGAAGTCGCCAGCGACACTGATACAGTGATCAGTAAAAATTGGTTCACTGATCAGTGACACTGGTGACAGGGCAGTGAAGGGATTAACTGGGGGGGGGGCGAATCAAGGGGGATCAAGGGGATTACTGGTTGTACTGGCGGGCAAACTGGCCCTATCTGGGAGGGTGTTCTAACACTGGAAGTCGCCAGCGACACTGATACAGTGATCAGTGAAAATTGGTTCACTGATCAGTGACACTGGGGGTGACAGGGCAGTGCAGGGGTTTAAACTGGGGGGGGGGCGATCAAGGGGTTAAACGGGATTATCGGGTGTACTGGGCGGGGAAAACTGGCGCTATCTGCGGGAGGGGCGCTAAATCGGAAGTCGCCAGCAACACTGATACAGTGATCAGTAAAAATTGGTTCACTGATCAGTGACCTGGTGACAGGGCAGTGAAGGGGTTAACTCTGAGGGGGGGGGGGGGCGATCAAGGGGTTAAACGGGATTACTGGTGTACTGGTGGGCAATCTGGCGCTATCTGGGAGGGGCGCTAACTCTATCGGAAGTCGCCAGCGACACTGATCAGTAAAAATCGCTTCACTGATCAGTGACACTGGTGACAGGGCAGTGAAGGGTTAACTGGGGGGGGGCGATCAGGGGGTTAAATGTGTCCCAGAGTGTTCTAACTGTAGTGTAGTGCTTGTGTACTCACTTTTTGGATGTCTTCTTCTCTGTCTGGAACGGAATGTGTCCAGGCAGAGAAGAATGACATCATATCCTGCCCTGTGTATTTGTCAACACAGGACAGGATAGGACAGGGACCGATCATGTGATTTCAGCCAGAAATCACTGGCTGAAATCTAATGATTGATCCCTTCTGGATCGAATCGGATCACCCGCGGGTCGGCGGGAGCGCGCGGCGCGTGTGCCCCCTGCCGGCGAAAGTGTCAGGAGTGCGGAACCCGTTTTTTAAACGTGGTTTTGCGCTCCACTGCTGCCCTGCACACGTATATACACAGTGGCAGGGCGGCAAGCGGTTAAAAGCAAATAGGGCTCGCCATCTATTTTTTTTTTCTAAGGATCTCTCATTGATTGTAGAGCAGTTTGCCAAGTTTTTTCTTTTGGGATTTTTGCATTATTTGTTTGCTGTACCCTGGGACACCTTATTAAGTGTTCTTGCATGGCAAGACCACTTACTGTTATCTCACATATATATTCTTATTATTATAGCCAAATTTACCACCCTAACTCCTCCCACAGTTTTTACACTACATAGTCAGTAATATACCGAAACGTGTGGAATGTTCCCGATTGGTGTGCTATTACTTTGTGGAACGTTTCGCTGAATGGTTCACGAAATAGCGGCATTTTTGTGGTGAAATTGGTCCCATAGCAATGAATGGCGGAATGTTCAAAACTAGAGTGGGAGCTAACAAAAGCTAGAGTGTGAGCTGAAAAAATCAGGACATGATTTTCTAAACTGCCATCACTCCCTCATTTTCAAGCCCACCTACACAAATCTTATATCGAAACGTTCAGCTATCCCTGCTGCCACTAAAAATGTCCACGGCTAAGCCATAGTCCTGATAGTTTTCACAATATGACCATTTGTTTGCAACTCACACCACCCATTGACATTCATTCAATTTCTAATTTCTAAATTCTAAATTTCTAAACTGCGACTGTGCCTTCATTTTTAATATTTCAGAGACATACTATGCATCACTCCAGTTGTAGACTACTGGTGGAGGCAAGAACACTTCACACAATTTCCACAGAAATTGTAGCTTTTCTAGTTTTCATTATACCCTCTGTCCATAAGGGGCCAGTCTACTTTGATAGTTCTCCCTATAGGGCATATCCAGGTGTGGACTGACAACTCATGGGGCCTCCGGGCAATAGGGGATCATGGGGCTCCTGTGTCCTTGCCCAAGCTCAAAAAAGCCTATGAAAAAGGCACCAGGGGCATCTCATGGGGCCCCCTACTGACCCCGGGCCCTCGGGCAATGCTCGAGTTTCCAAATGGTCAGTCCGCCCCTGGGCATATCACTACTGTCACTGATGGGAAGCTGACTTTTAAATATCAGACATCAGATATTATGTGATATCAGACCAATGCCCAATATGTTATACAAGTATTTACTGCAGCATTTCTCAACCATTTCAACACAGAGGAACCCTTCAAATAACTTTCTGGTCCCAGGTAACCCCTGCTATAAATTACTATATCTGCAGCCCATGATACATTAGTGTGATGGTAAGTGGGAAGAATGTTAAAAAAACGCTCTGCAAACGCGGGGACCAACGCTTGCCAAACGCTATAGGGGCGTTTGGCAAGAGTTGGTAAAACAGTCAAGTGTGAACTAGCCCTTACACTTTAAATATAGCTAAAAAGATCAATGGTGTCAGTGGGAACTTATTTGAGAGGCAGAAATTGCTCATTGCTCAATCTTTGGAGGAACCATTGGGTTCCAAGAAACCCTGATTTACCATGATTCCAGAATGAGGTCATCATTAATGTGTTGGATTATTACTATTATAACACTGGACAATGTGGTATGCACATGCTGCATATATTTTCAAATCAAATTAAAGAAAGTGATAATTCTTGTATATAAAATTTAATAAACTATATCTTAAGCCAAAAACTTTTTTTTTATATAGTTTTCGATAACTTAGGAAGAGGGTGAAACTCTTGTCAGTTTGCTGAGGCAGGTAACCCTTTTATTATTTACATGTTTTTTTTTTTTTCCTCTGTTTTTCGTTATACCATTCTCACAAATGTTAAACAAGACACTTCACACACAAACCCTATGTATGTGATAGTTACAAAACAGTCCATCAAAATGATATCTGACACTAAATAAATTCACCATCTGGTGTTTTCTATATACAGTACATCATGTTCTCATTGTAACATGAAGGTCTTGGGATTCCAAAACATATATATATCTAATTATAATATGTACGAAGGGTCTCATATGGACCATATGAAAAGAGTTACCAGCAAGACAGAGACTAGAGGGATTTGGGTTTTCTATGCTAAAATTGAGGATAACTAACTGGATTTGTGATGTTATGGTAGTTAAATAGTTACATAGTTAATCTGGCTAAAAAAAGACAAAAGTCCATCCAGCTCAACCATTAAAAAAAAAAAAGTTATAATCCTATACTCACAGTCAGGGGCGGACTGACTATTTGGAAACTCGGGCACTGCCTGAGGTCAGTAGGGGGCCCCATGAGATGCCCCTGGTACCTTTTTCATAGGCTTTTTTGAGTTTGTGCAAGGACATAGGGGCCCCATGATCCCCTATTGCCCGGGGGCCCCATGAGTTGTCAGTCCGCCCCTGCCCACAGTTGATCCAGAGGAAGGCAAAATAAACCCAGCAAAGCATGATCCAATTTGCTCCAGCAGGGAAAAAAATTCCTTCCTGATCCCCCATGGGCCTATTTTGTTATTCTCAAACTAACTACCTTATATAGTCTTATTTATGACCTAAACAATATTTCAATTGTTTTCCCTTTTCTAATATTCATTAATATTTTTTTAAATTAAGAAATTAAAAAAAAACCCTATCAATTTTAACCCATCATTACACAATCTCAGTTAAAAATTTACTAAATTCTAAAGGAGATCAACTTCCATATATTGCACACTCTAATAAAATGTAACGTTTTTATAGAAATTTAAAGCATTTGTATATTTATAAAAAAAAATGCTGAGATCCCATTCCTACTCCTATCTTTTTTTTTTTCCATAAACTTTTTTATTCCTGACAAATGGTGACAATTACAATTCTATTACACAGTCAGTCAGATCACAACTAAGAGATATACATGAAGCATAGCAAATAACCACAAAGACCAGCTCCACAAAACAGGATATAGACATATCTAGACATATATTGACAATAAGGCATAGCTATACCACTGGTGGGAGGTAACAGGTATATCAAAGGAACAAATCCATAAGAGAAGATGTATAATATTTAATGTCGGATAATAAGGAATGTGAAGAAAGAAAAAAAAGGGAGAAGAAAAAAAGAAGAGACAAGGGAAAAAGTGAAGAAGAAAAAGGATAAGAAGAAGAAGAAAAAAAAAAAGGAGGGGGGGGGTGAGGGGAAGGAGGAAATAAAGGGGGAAAGGAAGAGGGTAGGCTTGGGTGGGGAGGGAGGGCTAGATAAAAGAAAAAGGGGGGGGGGGGGGATAAAAACCTAGGCAGTAGATGGGTATGTCCACTCTTCCTCACCAGGCTGGTAGGGACCTCAAGGCCTTAAAGTGTCACTAAACCCAGGACCCTGCATTCACTGTATCTATGTCCATGATGAGTGCACAGAACGTGGAAATTCAATTATTGTTGTAAATATGAACTGCTAAATACATTTTCTCCTCAATAGAGCAGTCTTGTGACTATTAGTGTCCAGCCGAGTACTGGTTAAAGCTTTTAGGAGGAGTTTTCATTTTGCTCTAGGAGGATGCAGAACCCTTGACCTCTGCCTGGACAGTGCTGATTGGCTGATCATATGCACTCTCCGAAGAAAAAAAAAACCCTCTCTAGCAATACACACCAAAGTGAGCATGTGCAGAGTGACTCCACACAATATGTCTTATAAGGAGATGAGAGGGGGACATTGGAGAAAGGGAGGATCAAAGAAGTCAGGATCAAACAGCGATTTTACACAATGCAGAGGATTAACCCCCCCAGGGTTCCACGTTGAGTATAACAAGCATGCTTTACTGAATACACAGACTCATTTTACTGTTGTGGGTTTAGTAACACTTTAAATATCTATTTCTCTTTTAGAACTTGGACTTCTCTTTATTTCAGATTGAAATTTCACACATTTTATATTTCTTAATTTGTATTTTAATTCCACTCCCCTTCCTTTAACCTCCTTGGCGGTATTCCCGAGTGTAGCTCGGGGTAACATTTCAGTACCAAAAGCGGTAACCCCGAGCTATCCCTGAATAGTCACAATGCTCCGGCAGGTTCTTCACTTACCGATAGCATACCCTGCGCTCCCACGATGTGTCCCCTGCAGCGTCCCCGGCCATCTTCCGGCGGCCGATGCGGCATCCGGCTTCTGATGTCTACTGTCCCTGTGACGTCGGGGACGTCACGGGCGCCCGTCGCCTGGCGGCGGGAAATGTAAAAATTTGAGAAAATGTCATTTTTTTTTTTTTTTCATTTTACACTCCCAGTAAAACATTGCTGTACATTTTGTGAGTAGTGTCCGGCGCCCTGCCTGATTTTGTCTGTTCTTTCTGCCTTGAAACTGAGAAACGTCCATGGAGTCCAAAAAGCGTCCCTTTGTCAGACGCGGTTTTTAGAGCGGGAGAACAGCGATAGTAAATGCACCCCTTGCAGAATTGAGTGATAATGATTGGTGGGGGAAATTCCTCATCAGACACTGAAAACGATTTTATTGCTCAGCGATGTGCGAACTGGCTCTATTTCACATTTTTTTGTTTTATACCAAAATTATTGAATTGTTTAATTTTTTATTATTTTAACATTATTTTTCTTATTTATTAAAGTTTTTTTTACCTTTGAACTTTTGGGGAACTCTCCAAACAGAGAGGAATCATGCACCGGGGGTCCTTTACTAGACTCTTGTCCTGACAGATTTCAGTGAGTTTTCCAAAAAAATGGTTACCCCACCTCAGCTTTCAGCACTCCAAAAATCTGAAATAATCATAACCGCCAGGGAGGTTAAAGAGAAACCATCAACCTTGTGCTATCCCTGATAGTCACAACGTCAAGGCTCCCTCATTTTGATTACTACTGAAATCCCCAGTGTCGGCTGGTGTCGAAAGCTAATGTATTGATGATGTCACTCCCTTGGTCATTGATAGTGTTCGTGATTGGTTGCTAGACCCGAGCCGTGACATTAACCCCTATATACCCAGACCGGGGGGTATTGTAACTGGCTGTCCTTTTTTTGTCTTGATACAAAAAAAGAATGTTTTAAAAACCCTAACAGTACTTTTTCTTCTTTGTTTTACCCTGTGAACTTTTGGGGAACTCTCCAAACAGAGAGGAAATGCACTATTAGAGAAATTTCTGTTCCAGTACAGACTGTTATGGTTTTGTCCTTGTGAAAAATTGAACCGTGACAAACATAGAGGATGATTTTAAATGGAATACAGACAACAATAATCATTGATGATGAATATCATTGATGATCGTTATTTGCTTTATTCTGCATATGATCATCAATTGCTCTACAGGCACAGTGTTCACAAATATTAAGTAAAACAGTTTTCTGGACAAATTTTAGATCTGATGTGCATTTTAGTAGTATTGATCAGTGTAATGGATTGATCATTTTATTCTGTTGATTTCAGATTCTTCAAAAACTATCAGCTTGTTTAAGCCTTGCATGCGCATAGCTAACATATGCATTGTTATTAGTTGCCTTAGGCAGTATATTTATTTTGTATAGGCAGTATATTTATTTTGTATAGGCTGTAAATGCACTTTAAAGCATAACAAATAGCACCTGCACAATTTTTTACAATGCACAGAACACACTAATTTTTATTGTACATGCGCACTAGAACGTAATTAAGAATGATTTGCAATGCACTGCAACGTGCAAATAACAGTATATTGCCACACCATAACATTTTCTTTAAGGGTTCATTTACACCAGATGCAGCATAAATGCAGTACAAATGTATAACAAAAAAAATGTATTTCAATGAGCCTAGTTTACACCATTGCAGTGCTTAAATGTGCGTTTAAAAAGAATACAACATGCTGCATTTTTCTGCACCAGAACGCTCTGCAAAAGCATGTACAAATGCTTAAACATTCAAAAATGCGCACAAAGGCATGTAAACACAACTTAGTAAAAAAAAAATTTAAATAAATGGAAAAATCATTAAAAAAAATGCACCACAAACACACAAAGCACGCACAAATGCACATGCAAAAATGCACACTAAATGCAAAGATGGTGGTGTAAACAGGCCCTAAGAGCCCTTTCACAAGGGCATTCCAATCAGGTGCACCTGTCAGTTTTTCATGTGGACCTGATTAGAAGGACCATGCAGCCCCATGGACAAGTGGATGTAAACGGACTTGTGTCCTTTTACACCCATATACCTTTTGGGTTAGATCTGATCCGGTAAAAAAAAAGGGGGGGGGGAAACGACCTCTT